ATTTTGATTTAAAAAATGCTACACACACACCCACAGACACACACACACACACACACACACACATATATATATATATATATATTAATAAATATGCATATGCCAACAACCGTAGTTTGTGAATGATAAGTTGTTAAAACCACGAAATTCAAGTTTCACTTTGAAGGTAGGTATACGTATATTTATTCATATATACTTCTTAACTGTCTCTTACGACATTGAGCACTGTTTTGTTTACACCTTAAATTAAACTGAGTAAATATTTATTCGCTTTCCTGTGTATGCACGCTAACGCACGTATATACGGTTGCTGATATGTAGTAATTGATTTATGTCCGCATTTATACCTATATATATATATATATATATATATATATATATATATATATAAATATATAATTATTTTTTATAAAAAATTATAACATAAGTATGTTATAAAATCACTACAAAAAATAGCCATTTTGTTTCAACACACTCTGTGTCTTATCAAGTGATGATGTTGAAAAAGAAAATAAATGGTTTTAAAAGTTTCAGATTAATTAACGATCCTACACTAGGGGGAAACATTGTTACAAAAGCTAGAATAACCAATCAAAAACGAAGTATAGAAAGATTCAAAAAGCTTGACAACGAAATCCTGCTATAATAGCTATTCAGATCTTTAAATACGTGTAATATTAAAAATAATTTATACTAACTAATAATTATAAAATTATATGATAAAATTTAATATTAAAATTAAAAACTGGCAATTTTTAAAATCCAAATTTAATCACTATTAAGTTTAAAAACTACAAAATTATTGAGAAAAAAAAAATATATATGTTTATTCAATTCATTTCTTCATTGAAATTACGTTCGACAAGACAAAACGCTAAAATACATCCGGTCATTTGACAATACATGTATATATATTTTTTCTTTTTCCCTTTCTTTTCCGTTTTTATTTTAAGGTTTGTGAATGTGATCTTAAACTCACGCGTAAAAACAACAAAAACACAATCAACATCATCACTTGATAAGACACAGAGTGTGTTGAAACAAAATGGCTATTTTTGTAGTGATTTTATAACATACTTATGTTATAATTTTTTTATAAAAAATAATTATATCTGCTCTACTTTGTATTGAGCACTCTTTTAAGAATAGTAATTATTGGTTATTGGAATTCATTCCGTATATACCAATTATATACTTTGGTATATAAATATAAATATATATATATATATATATATATATATATATATATATATATATATATGTGTGTGTGTGTGTGTGTGTGTATGCGCGAATAAAGACAATAGGTAAGCTCATCTTACCCGACGCGTTTCGTCCTCTAATGGACTTAATACACATGTAATGTAATTGGATTTGATAAGCAATTAAAAACATAAGAATAAATGTCGTTAGTTTTTCATAATTTTCAATTTACGAACGTTCATACATATTCTTCAGGTTAACTGTGAAAGTCAAGGTAAATTAGGGAGGATGTTATGTGTTGTAATTTAATGTCTAATAAAAGAAAGTGAGTAAATGCTATTCATATTTTGAAATCATTTTGCAATGCTATTATCATTTATATAATTTTAGAGAAATTCATTTATGTAATATCTATTTCAAATAATAGGCTTTGAATTTAACGGTTTTCTTTTAATTTTAAAAACATTTTATCGTTATGCACGCTGGTTTGTGCAAGGAATATTTCTTTTAAGAAAGGAGTTATTTGAAAAAATCCGGTGTGCAGAGTTATATTTTAGTAACATTCAATAGCGGCAGTTTCAAGAATTTTCCGTCTAATTAAGTTCCTTTCTCTTTTAATAAATGTGGCATTCTTAAGATGGAAGTTGTCATTGAATTTATTCCTATGTATGAATAATACATTTGGCAAATTCTTGTGTGTAATGCATCTTTTGTGTAATTACCATCGCCTGAAGAAGTGCAATCATAGTATTGAAACATTTAAGCTTTTGTGTAGCGATTTCAAAATGTTTTATTATAATCTCTTATAATAATAATAATAATAATAATATATATATATATATATATATATATATATAGATAGATAGATAGATAGATAATATTAGTGGTAAATATAAATATATATATATATATATATATATATATATATATATATATATATATACATATATATATAAATTTCCAAGAGGATAGAATCAGGTAGAACTCAATGTCCAAGACAGAGTCAGAATATAATAAAAAAGGCTCAAACACTGGTTATAATTTATTACATTAGAATCGTAATCACGATCAATTCATCAGACCTACAAATTCAAAAGGCTTTTGAATTTGTAGGTCTGATGAATTGATCGTGATTACGATTCAATATATATATATATATATATATATATATATATATATATATATATATATATGTATGCACCTCTCCATAATTTTGTTGAATTAGGTCCACATTGTGCTACAGAAGGAAAATGTAGATGTTGATCTATTTTATTCAGAGTAAGTACTGCCTACCTTGCCTACCTAGATGGCACGTCTCTGATATAGACTCAACCAGAGTAGCAAGATTACTACTAATAAAAAATAATAATAAAAAAAAAATTAAAATATCCGAGCATCCGTATTATTCTTTGTGAAAATATGGAATTCCTTATATTAAAACAAGAATTATTGCTGGAGCGAGAAAATCCAATTGTAGGACGTTATGATCCAAGCCGAGATTCCCACCCCCTCTAGTTTCTTTTGCCCCCCCTCATCTCAACTGGGTCAGCTTTCTTCATTCCCCATGGCCGTATTGATGTTAACCTTTTCCCTCTCCCTTAGTGAGAGAGCCACTTGATTTTGTCTAGAGGCAGAATACTACAGCCTCTCTTAAATCATTTGTGGGGGTTTGCTGGGTCCAACTAACATCAGTTATCTTTATTTTGTTTGTTTTGATATTTTAGTTTGTTTTGGGGCTCATCCCCTTCACGCTCATTGTATATCATTAATAGATTTTTATGTATAGGATTTTATAATCATGAAATGTTTATGTCATGTTTTTTGTAGGTCCCCTGAATGTATGCGGTATTATGGTATATGGAGAATTAAGTGGCGATGGATGGGTTCTTGCTGTGGATGTTCAAATTGTAACGAGTGAATAGTTCGTAAATCGGATTAGTTAGATATAAGATAGGAAGTGACGACCAGCCTCAACTCTTTCCACCTTTTAGACCTTGTGCCAAAATTGTATTTTTTATATACAATAAATATTGCATAAATGTGGTACGAGAATATTTGGTCATTTTTTTTCGAATACCGGCTCACGTGTGTGTGTCTGACCAGGCATTCTGAGTGAACAGCTTACATCCTTTTCGGTTACCCTGTCATCTAAGTACACCCTTGTGCAAATTAATTGAAACCACCGCTTTAGTTTTCTTTCTTTCACCATACGGTCAGTTTTAGACCCACTGGAGTGACAGGGTGTAATCGATTTCCATTTTTTGCAGTAGCGTGCAGTAATATGAATCTATTTTCGTGGTGTATGATGAAATTTGTTTAGCCTTGAAAAATATTGCGCCATTCATGATTGCATTAGATTTTTATCACGCCCAGACACTACTGTCTCGACTGTCGATTAGTTGTCCTATGGCCATTGTCTGCGAAGTACGTTACTCCAAAGAAGTGTACGAAAATTGTAACGCTGCACAAACATACTGGCAAACCTTACCAGTGAGCAAATCAAAGTACTATAGACTGGCCTGGAAACTCTAGATTTAAAACTAATTGAGAATCTCTGGTCAATCTGCAAGGAACGACTTCGTGGAATGGATATGCGGATTACTAACTAAAAATATTTTCCTCAGATCAGGTCATTTGCAGTGATGTGCCGTAATATGAATCTATTTATTTTCGAGATGTATAATGAAATTTGTTTGGCCCTGAAAAAATTTTGCGTCATCCGTGATTGCATCAGATTTTTATCACGCCCTGACACTATTATTTCGACTGTCGATTAGTTGTCCTACGGCCATTGTCTGCGATGGACGTTATTCCAAAGAAAGTTAAGAAAATTGTAACGCTCCACGAAAACACTGGCAAGCTTTACCAGTAAGAAAATCAAAGTACTATAGACTGGCCCGGAAATTCTCCTGATTTAAATCCAATCGAGAATCTGTGGTTAGCCTGCAAGGAACGACTTCGTGGAATGGACATAGGAAGTACTAACATGTGTACTGGGTCATGTTTCATTATTAAAATACGAAAATAGTAATTAATAACGGAATTATTCGTTTTGTTTTAATTAATTTGCACAAGAGTGTAGTGATCACGGCCCTCCACATCTTCCTGTATAATTAATTTGCACAGGGGTGTATATTCAGTATCCTTAGTGTCCATTGCTTCACGAGTGGAACATATTTTAAGATATATTTTTTATACAGTGTAACCCGGATATAAGAGACCCGGATATAAGAGAAACCCGGATATAAGATAGATTTTCTCTGGTCCCAAATTAGAGCCTGTGTTAATGTATATAAAATAGACCAAACCCGGATATAAGAAAAACCCGGATATAAGAGACTTCTCCGGTCCCGGCAACCCTCTTGCATCCGGGTTACACTGTACCAGATATACTGTATTTTAACGCGATGTGGAGGCACATATTGCATTTAATGTTAATATAGGTCTGGTATAAGAAAATATGACTTAAAATATGTTCCCCACGTGAAACAATGGGCAGAAACAGGTAAGCCTTCTTCATTCATTTTGCCTTTTCATTATACAAAAATATTCTAAAGCCACATTTAAAGAATTAATCTTCTAACACCACAAGATTGTATCCGGAACAAAACGAGAAACGCTCTTCTTCTTGCATGACTCAGTAGAGTTTTAAAGAAATAAAATACCATTCAAACGATTGTACACAACTTCAGTCTAAAGCACTTGAACTGTGTCGCCAGACAATGGAGGACCAGTGCGGAATATGGCGGAATAAACACTTTTGTATCTACGTTGTCGTAAATTTCACACGGTAGCCGTACCAGTCACTGGTTAGGACTATAAACAAATGATTTCTGTTGAAATCTTTTGAGGCTCGGTGAACTGCTGGGTGTGGCCATTTTGTGCTTTCTTGGCGGGAAGAAAAGGGTGATGAAGTGAATAAAGAATTGAACGATAGCAAAACGAGCATTGAGGCGTGCAGACAAGAGTGTGCGAGCAAGCGAAGAATTATCACTTATTAAAAGTCGGTTCAGTAGTGAAAATGCTTTGATGTTTGTGCGAGGAACATCGCTTAAATCAAACAAAATAAAAAAGGGTCTTAAAAATAGGGTAAAATGGAGAAAAGATACCTGGTTCTACCATGCAGTTTTTTTTTGTTTTTTTTTGCTAGTGGCGGGGGGAATACTGGAGCAAAGTCCTTTATGAAAATGGATGCTTCCTTTTTTTTCGTTAAAAAAAACAAACAAACAAAAAACAACTTATTTAGTCTAAAATAATTTAATAATTAATTCTCGACCGACCATTTTTAACACGTTGACTGCCAATATACAGGATAAAAATTGTTGTCTAAATGACACAAAAATGAAAATAATACTGGCATTTCATTTTAATAGATATACAGGATGCGATGGATAAATTGTCATCCAAATGACGCAAAAAATGAAAACAAAACATTTCATTTTAACAGATATACAGGGTGCAATTTAGGTACATCTAGGTTGGGTAATGGTTAGCAAGCTTGTCTCGCTGAGAACGATTGCGACTGAGTAGGGAGTTCGATCCTCACTGGGTACCCCATACTTTCGGCCTTGTGCCACATCTTAGCTCCGCTTGGAAAATCGATATACAGGGTACGATGGATAAATTGTCGCCCAAATAACGCGAAAATAAAACTGACAATTCATTTTAACAGATATACAGGGTGCGATGTATAAATTGTCGTCCAAACGACGCAAAAAATGGAAATAAAACTGACATTTCATTATAACAGACGTAACGGATGCGATGGATAAATTGTCGTCCAAATGACGCAAAAATGAAAATAACACTGACATCTCATTTTAACCGATATATTTACCAATATTACACACAAATATCTTGAAATACTAAAGAGAAAATTTATTCAATAAATTCGTCATTGGCTTCAACCATGGCCTCCGACCCCGGAATCTCCTGCAACACTTCTGGACGGTCTCCTTGTTTAAGTTGTTGAATGCTACCATAAGCCTCGCCTTCAGTTTATCTTTGGTGTTACAAGGAGTTTTGTTGGTCTCTCGTTCAACTGCGCCCCATACATAATAACCAAAGGGGTGGCAATCTAGGGAGTAATGTGGCCAGATGTAAGGAGTGATGTGGTCGCAGAAATTGTATGATAGCCATGACTGGGTTCTGCAGCTTGTGTGACATGGTGCAAATTCCTGTTAGCAGACATAGGGTCTTCCAGCAGTCACCCTCTTTAACCAGGTCAGCACTACCTCCTCAAAGCACTTATTGTATGCCTCCGTGTTGAGTCTGTGGGAAGATGAATGGAGACATAATTTTGTCATCACTCGTGATCACTCCAAACCTTTTCGTAATCACCATTAGCCTCATCCAACTCTTTTCGTATCCTCTGCACTGTCCACAGATTGATACCCAAACACTCTTAAATGTACGTAAGGTCGATCCCAGCGTGTCTGAAAACCATACCACGGGTTGACCCAAGCGTTGAGTAAAATTGGATAGACGGAACGCTTGGGGGTTGTCGATAGCTGTGCTAGATAGAATCACAAGTCATCGTGGCCGAGGGCTTGAGTATGTAAGATAACACGCTCCCTCCCAGAAACTGTAACTAAGTAATTGCAGTATGAACCATAGGTGGGCTCTGAGGGTGTCGAGCAAACACAAAACACTGAGCGAGCGTCTGCAATAGGGATTGGCTTGCCGCTCTAGTTTACTGGTATCCTCGAATACTAGCTATTATATATATATATATATATATATATATATAATAATATTAATGAACTCTCCCGTCGGTTTCGACGTATGAGGATCTGCCAGCTTATTGATTCAGTTATGAAAGTTTATGCGCTAATCTTAAGTGGCATTTAAGACCCGCTAGTGATTTACAAAGGAATCCACATATGGAGCAGGTGTGAGAATTGTGAGATGTGTTCACTATTAGATTGGTTGACCTTTTAAATCTTGCACTCGCTTCTTGAAGAGGATTCAGACAAGAAGATTGAAAATTGCTGAGTCCACTAAAACACGTTGATCTCCATTCTACCAGCTCCAAGGCTAAGCGCTCAAGGGTGTTATGTGGTATATTGACTGCTGACAAGTTGCTTTTCAGCTTGTCTTTGTATATTAGTCATGGGCGTCCTACATTCCTGTAGCCCTGATCTAACTGGCTGTACATTAGGATCTTGGGTATCCTGTCATCAGACATTCTCAAGACATGACCAGTCCACCGTAACTGAGACTGTATGATAAAAGTCTAGATTCCTCCAATATTACAGCTATTAAACAGATCTACGTTAGATGTCCTATCTTGAAGCTTAACTCCACAGATTGCACGCAGACAGCTTTTATGGAAAACATCTAGCTGGCGTATATGGTACCTGTATGGAGTCCATGACTCTGAGCCATACAAAAGGATGGCAAGTACAACAGCTCTGTAAACACGAATTTTCGTATCCAGTCGAATACCCGCTCATTCTACAAGCGATGGCGAAGTTTGCCGAAAGCACTGGTAGCCTTAGCAATCCGATGCATAATTTCATCATCTAAAGTTCCACTGTAATTGACTTTGCTACCAAGATAGGTGAAAGACTTTACATAGTTCAGGGGTTTGTCTTCTACTCTTAATGGTCTCTCTGGAAATTTGTAGACTGATGGTTTTTGTTTCTCACCACGCAATTGTTTCGGAGTAGGACAAGGTTGGTGCATAACTTCAGTTTTCTTTATGCTAAGTGTAAGACCAAAGGCTTTACATGCAGCAAAAGAACGATTTGTTTGATGTTGGGCCTCTTTAAAGGATGTCGCTACAAGAGCCGCATCAACGATTTATGTCCATAATCCGAAAGTTAAATTAGGTTATCAAGGGTCCTAATGTCAGTTTATACAACTGAGACAACACACTATTTCATTTACCACTTACTACACAATGATAACTTAACATTTTTCTTTCCCACCACTCTCTCAATATGAAATCATTAGTCATAATTTTTAAACCTAGAGTAAATATTCCCATTTTCATTTGGTTTATGGGTCTGAAGATTTGAAGCCGTTTTTTATCGAGTTTAATGAAATAAAATATCACCTATGGTTTTTTAAGTGTCTGCTTGTCATTATATATATATATATATATATATATATATATATATATATATATATATATATATCACTTTCAAAATCTGAAACACACAAGAAAGTTGCCTTCACTACGAATTGGCGATATGATTTCTGAGGTTAGGAGAAAAATCTTGGGAGCCGTTTTCTAAAAAAATATAAGCACACAAAAAATCTTCATTGTGCCTAACACATTTTTTTAACAAAATATAGAAAAAAAATACACCCCATGACTATATACTGATTTTGGGTTGGCAGTCAAGAGTTTAGGGGATTTTTTTGGCAATGTTTAACCTTCGTGCCTGCAAAAGGACGGATTATTCCTTTGAAACCGCTATTACTCTATACACTTTTGACTTCATCGACAATGTTTATTGCTTTTAAATTTTAAACGGTTTTTTAAAAGCGATCATTAGAATTTTGATAAAATCCAAACATGGATTTATACATTTACTTTATTCTTGAGAATTGGCAACAAAAATATTAAACACCATTTATTTATTACATTGAATAAAATCTTATTTTCATATTTAGTTATATTATGGCAAATAATAAATATTGTATTGTCTTCGGTTTACGAAACCGCGGTGACGCAAGCGAGCCCGGAGACGTCGCCTAGAGCCCCGGGAAGAGTTCTCTCTTCTTCGTAAAGGACCGTGTCCGTGGAATAAGGCTCGTCCGGAGATACGGAAAAGGTACCTGTAGAGCGCTGCGGCTTGGGCGGCGTCCGGTGCGCTTTCGGCGGCCCTGGAAAATCCCGGTCCGGTTTTCGCAGCTCTCGAGTCGGTCCGTACCCACCATCCGCAGCAGGTCTCCAAGTTGTACAGCCTCTCGTCGATGGCATCAATGTAGTTAAGGGAAGTCGGCAAAATGGATCCGTACCTTCGGAAGAAGGATTGGCTCCGAGGACCGGGTCGGTCGGGCCGTGCCCGCGCGAAGCAAGGAACCGGTACGGGGCTGTTGCGTTCGCTCCGTTCGCGCTTTGTGGCGCGGGTTCAAGGCGTCGTAGCGGCCCGTCGGCGTTGTGGTCGATGCGCATTCGGGTCGGGTCGCAAGGTCGGGGTAGGTGGTGTTCGGCGGTACGCGGAAGGCGGTGGTTTTCGGGTCGGGCCGATTTCTTTTCAGATTTATTTCTTTATAAAATGGTAAATAAATCTTTATAAAAGTTAAATAATAAAAATCGTAATTTTTATAATTGCCGAGGGAGTTAAAAGTGTATACAGTAATAGCGGTGTCAAGAGAATACCCATCAACAACAGAACAGGAATTATAAAGACAGAAGGTGTTAGACAATTTTTCTCTCCAGAATCTATCATGTTTTAATTATTTCACCACAAGCAAGGCAATAAAGCCACTAAGACACTGACTGTTAGAGAATATCAGAAAATACTATTAAGGACCGAGAATAATAAAACAACAACAATTAAGAAGACAGAATATGACGCTTGACGATCCATTTACATTTTTGAAGATCAAAGTTGATTGGAAAGCAAGAGGCTTGAAGAGAATTCCACAGGCGAGAAGTGCGAGAGAAGAAACGTTTGGCATAGAACTTACAGTTATATCTAGCCATTTCAATGATGAGACCTAACTGCCAATCTAGTATTGCGCTTAAATTTGTAAAGTCGAGATACCAAAGAGAAAAGCTATTCAGAACAAATACCATGGAAATATTTATAGAAAAGGCACAGGGAAGCTATGTTACGAAGGTAGGAAAGTGACTGAAGTTGAGATGCCAGGTCAGGATCGAAAACATTGCAGATTCGTCTTTTTGTTTCATCAAGAATTTCGAAATCCATAGCAGAAACATTAGACCAGATGTGACACCAATATTTAAAGAAACCTAGATAAATTATTATTTTATTTTGTTATATGATAATTTGACCGTTTTGATATTCTATGACATTCACCACTCTTTCATTGATTGATTTCGTTTATGGTCCAATTGTTTCAATTTTGATATAACTTATAGCAGTTTTATTGCTCCCTAGAGATCTTTGCTTGAATATTGTTTTTTTCATTTTCATGTAAATCTTTTTTTAATGATTAATCACAAGTTTTTTATTGGATTTAACATTACTTGAAGTCGTTTTTATGACTTCCCAGAGATCTTTGCTTGAATATTATTTTCAGTTCACACATAAATAACTTTTAATAATGGACCAAAATTTTTTTTTATCACGACTTTGTGCAAAAGCTCAGGATATTCCATTAATTTAATATTTTTAAACATTTTTTTTTGCTAAGTTGGGCAATTGTTATCTTTGCAGAGTATCATGGAGTATGGGCTTTCATGAGTATTGAGATCGGTTCCACTAAAAATTCTTTTACGAGAACTTACAATGATTCTTTTGCAATTTAATATTTGCACCGTCATCAACTTTGGTGTGATTTTACCGCCGATAATACTAGTCCAAAAATCCATTACTCCACTTCCCTGCCGTTGTCTTCTAAGTTCACTATTTGGTTGACTATTTCCATAAAGGAACTAAAGTTGAGTCCAGCCATCAGATCCATCCAATGTAGCTCTACATTCATCGCTAAAAATTACTGTTGGAAAATCAGTTTTCATTTACTTCTTCGACCAATTTATAAGCTTCTCATTGTGATGTTTATTTAAAGATGGCTGCTTAGCTGATTTCGTGTCCTTAGTCAGCGTTCTTAATATTCTCTATTATTTCTTTTTGCTTAAATTCGCAATATTAACCTCAAATGTTTCCTTAATGGTCGACCTACCTTTCTTCCTTACTCTTTTTATTTTTATCATTTCTTTATATTATTAAAGACATTTTCTGTGTCAATTTTTTGATTGTTTTGTGAACTCCAACGTATTTTTCGTAATTTCAAACATTACCATCAGTTAATAACTTCTTTCACTTTTGAGGTCATAACTTTCTTATAACCTATGATAATCTAAAGATTTCCACTACCTTAGATCCAGTAACAGGACCCAAAGAGTGTGAGTTCAATACCCGGTCAATGCAGTGGAAATCTTGGAGAGGGGAATTAACAGGAGATAACTGATAACTGACATCCATTAAACATGGCGCGTGGAACTAGAACAGTCTACCCCAGTGAGCGAAATAAAGGATTCAATTCGACATTCCAACCACCTGAAGAAGGCCGGAGCGTACAACGGCCAACATTTTAAATATGACGACAAAGATGAGGACAATGGTCCGAATAATGTAAATAATATACATGATACCTCATCTCAGAAATATAGACAAATACTATCTATTGTACTTACGAATTTTTATAAGTCTTGGACAAAATCTTTCATTTCCTATTTCGATTATAATATGCATTCATTTTGCGCCCCACACGCATGCGCATATACGGACACGCTGACATTGGAGCAAAATCCAGATTATGCGCACATTTTTATAACATTATTTACATATATTTTATCATAATATTATCTGTAAAATTGAAGTCAATTTTAATCCCTTTTAAATGATGTATATTTTAATAGGATTAATTTAAATATCGCAATTTTAATTTTCTTTAATGTTACGTCCATTCGTGACGTATATGATCATGGCTCTCCACAGACTCCTTTTATTTATTCTATAAGAATTGTCATGACATCCTCAGAAAACTAGTGGAGAGATTTCCCGTTGCTTTCGATACGGTTTGGAATACTTAATTTTCGTTCTCTTAGACTGGTTGTCAGTCAAGGCCCAGTCTACTCTGCTGTTTAAACCATAGATGAGGGTGGAGGGAGAGGAGAGATAGATTCGTGTCTTTTGAAAAGGCATTTGGCGCGAAAGTGAATGCAACAATAAGATCGAATTTGAATTCTACTCGACGATTTCACTGCCGGTGACGATTGTCATTGTACAACGCGCATTTTCCTGATTACAATGATACAGTTTCTTTAAAATCCTAGTTTTTGGAAACAGCATAATTAAGATTAACTGTTATTTTTTTTTTTTTTTTTTCTTTTTTTTTAAGCATTACGCCCCGAGCAAGGCGTGAAGCCACTAGGATGCAAGAAGATTTGGAGTAAGAGCAGATAGGAGTGATAGAAGAAAGGATGAGGAGAGGGATAGTGGATAGATCAAGGTAACTGGAGATGTCGATTGACATTACATTTGAATAGTTAGAAATTATAGCTCTCAGGGAAACAGTAATTGGGAACGGTGTTCCACAGGCGTGAGGTGCGAGGTATGACGCTATTGGAGTAGAAGAGACGGCTACATTTATTGATAAGATGAAATAATATTTTCTGTTGGTACCGAGTTCGTTGCAATGGATACAGACGTAATTTGTCCAACTGGATATCCATAGATAGTCATAAGAGAGAGAGAGAGAGAAAGAGAGAGAGAGAGAGAGAGAGAGAGAGAGAGAGACTCTCTGGAAGCGGGATATTAAAAATATGCTTTCTATTAACGTGGAAGTCTAAAGCAAATATTCGTCACCCTTTTCATCATCTCCGAACTGGTCATGAATTCTCGCCAGTCTCTGGTTTCACTCTCAAAGTCGGTCTTTGCTTCGAGCAACAATTAGGGTTCAAGTTCACTCCAGACCTCAAGTGGAACACATAAACCCTTGTGAAAATTAATTGAAGCAACCGCTTTAGTTTCCTTTCTTTCACCATTCGATTAGTTTTAAACACACTGGAGTGACAAGGTCTAATCAATTTCTATTTTTCCCTCAGATTAGGTCATTTGCAGTGGTGTGCAGTAATATGAATCTATTTTCGTGTATAGTTTCTGTAATGGACTCATACGGTATTTACAAAAGCATTTTATACACCCCTGTGCAAATTAATTGAAACAACCGCTTTAGTTTCCCTTCTTTCAACATATAGTCAGTTTTAGCCCCACTGGAGTAACAGGGTGTAATCGATTTATATATTTTCCTCAGATCAGGTCATTTTCAGTGATGTGCAGTAATATGAATCTATTTATTTTCGAGGTGTATAATGAAAAATTTTGCGTCATCCGTGATTGCATCAGATTTTTATCACGCCCTGACACTATTGTTTTGACTGTCGATTAGTTGTACTACGGCCATTGTCTGCGATGGACGTTATTCCAAAGAAAGGTAAGAAAATTGTAACGCTCCACGAAAATACTGGCAAGCTTTACCAGTAAGAAAATCAAAGTACTATAGACTGGCCCGGAAATTCTCCTGATTTAAATCCAATCGAGAATCTGTGGTTGGCCTGCAAGGAACGACTTCGTGAAATAGACATAGGAAGTACTAACGTGTGCAGCTTAGATCTGCCATGCCGTGTACACTGGGGCGAACTATATTCATTCGTTTCCATTGGTAAGATGAAATTTCTATTAGGGCAGCTTCTTCTCGGGAGTCGTTGTTTTGTGGAACAGACTCATGATAGGAGGATTCCTGACAACTACCATCCCTGGAAATGAAAATAAAAGCACTATTAAGATTTCTACGCTACCTTAACTAAAGTGTTAGGAAGGAAACCTCAGTATTATTAGAATGAACAATAACGATTAATTTGGGAAATCTATTTTCCGGAGAAACTGTTTTAGAAAAAGAAGAGTTTATAAATTTCAACCGATATTAATGTTAACTGTTCAGTCAATGAATATCGAAAGTTTCCTGCAGGGGAACGGTTAATCTTACCGTTAATATTACTCAATGAAAGAAGAAAAAATGTTTTAAAAAATAGCTTAGCCAAGTAATCACATTAAAACGCTGTCGTTATAGTCCCCACCCCACCAAAAAAACTCTCGCTAGTCCTAGGTATGACGATAAACTACATCCGGTAGCAAGGCCACTGATCAGGAGATTAGAGTTTTTGAGAAGCATGGAACCACCTCTTAATTGCTGTTGTTCCCAGGTACACTAGCTTTATAAAATCACAAAAGCTTTACCAAATAGCAAAGACAGCATCGCTTAAAGACTTCCTCGTCCTGGGTATGACGATAAACTACGTCCGGCAGCTAGGTCACTGATTGGGAGGTTTTAAGGATCGTGGGACCATTTCTGAACTGCTATTGTTCCCAGGTCCATCCTGACCCTACGTGGTAGCACCTGTTAGGGTCCTAGCTATGGGCAAATAGTGAACACCCTCCAAAAGAAACACCAGCAATCCATTTTTATATAAAAATTACGAAGAATAGATTTTATAGAAAAATCACTAACAATATATTTCATCTGTAGTTGAAGCCATAAAATTTATTTGAAAAAAAATTAAAAATCATTTAGATTTCGGCATAAAATAACCTATAGAGATTCATATGCTACTAAAAAACAAACAAAAAACAGCCAATATGAAAGAACTCTTTCATGAAATTAATCCATATAATATCATACTATTTATTAAAGAAATCAAACTGTATTCCAAAATATAACTTCAACAAAACTACAATTTAAACTACACCTATGCACCTCTCTAGTAATAATGTCCACACAAACATGTATATGTTCAAAAACTCAGTACCATCTACGATGTATTCAATTGTAAAAGCAAAATAACATTATATTTTTATTATTTCAAAGCTTCAAAGAAAAATTAAATTTCGGCATTAAATGACCCATATAGGAGTTGATATGCCGTTAAATAAATCAAATCAAACTCGAGCAATGATGCGTCCATAAAAAACTACAATCTCAACCTCTTCAATTCAACGGTTACCTGTCCTACCTATCTTCATAATCTGCAGTTTTTACGTTCATAAAACCACCTCGTTCTGTAAAGCTCTGCCTTGAATTGCTCTTGAGTCTTATATGAGGTGAAGAAGAGAGTAGAAAGAAAAATAGGATAGGCCCAAATTTGAATAGCCAAGAAAATCTACAAGGTAACCGGACATTTGGACGACGGATATTTAACCGAATGGGCATTTAACCGAAAATGTAATGGCGTACTTACATCTATGTCACACTATTTATCGTAATGTGCTACATATATTTATATTTATTTACTGCATTAATTTATAATTTATTATACTTTTTGCTTGTTACTATTTTTACTTGTACTTTTTCGATGAATATTCGTTCGGCCAAATGTCTCTCGGCCAAATGTCTCTCGACCAAATGTCCGTCGGTCAAATGTCTCTCGGCCAAATGTCCGTCGGTCAAATGTCTCTCGGCCAAATGTCCGTCGGCCAAATGTCCGTTCGGCCAAATGTCTCTCGGCCAAACGTCCGTCGGCCAAATATCTCTCGGCCAAATGTCCGCCAGCCAAATGTCCGTTCGTCCAAATGTCTCTCGGCCAAATGTCCGTCGGTCAAATGTCTCTCGGCCAAATGTCCGTCAGCCAAATGTCCGTTCGGCCCAATGTCTCTCGGCCAAACGTCCGTCGGCCAAATATCTCTCGGCCAAATGTCCGTCGGTCAAATGTCTCTCGGCCAAATGTCCGTCGGTCAAATGTCTCTCGGCCAAATGTCTCTCGGCCAAATGTCCGCCGGCCAAATGTCTCTCGGCTAAATGTCCATCGGCCAAATGTCCCTCGGCCAAATGTCCGCCGGCCAAATGTCCGTCGGTCAAATGTCTCTCGGCCAAATATCCATCGGCCAAATGTCTCTCGGCCAAATGTCCGTCGGCTAAATGTCCGTCGGTCAAATGTCTCGCGGCCAAATGTCCGTCGGTCAAATGTCTCTCGGCCAAATGTCCGTCGGCCAAATGTCTCTCGGCCAAATGTCCGTCGGCCAATTGTCCGTCGGTCAAATGTCTCTCGGCCAAATGTCTCTCGGCCAAATGTACGCCGGCCAAATGTCTCTCGGCCAAATGTCCGTCGGCCAAATGTCTCTCGGCCAAATGTCCGTCGGCCAAATGTCCGTTCGGCCAAATGTCCTCGGCCAAATGTCCCTCGGCCAAATGTCCGTCGGTCAAATGTCCGCCGGCCAAATGTCTCTCGGCTAAATGTCCCCCGGCCAAATGTCCCTCGGCCAAATGTCTCTCGGCCAAATGTCCGTCGGTCAAATGTCACTCGGCCAAATGTCTCTTGCGAAATGTCTCTCGGCCAAATGTCCGTCGGTCAAATGTCTCTCGGCCAAATATCCCTCGGCCAAATGTCTCTCGGCCAAATGTCCGTCGGCCAAATGTCCGTCGGCCAAATGTCCGTCGGTCAAATGTCTCGCGGCCAAATGTCCGTCGGTCAAATGTCTCTCGGCCAAATGTCTCTCGGCCAAATGTCCACCGGCCAAATGTCTCTCGGCCAAATGTCCGTCGGCCAAATGTCTCTCGGCCAAATGTCCGTCGGCCAATTGTCCGTCGGTCAAATGTCTCTCGGCCAAATGTCTCTCGGCCAAATGTACGCCGGCCAAATGTCTTCGAAATAAATGTCCGTCGGCCAAATGTCTCTCGGCCAAATGTCCGTCGGCCAAATGTCCGTTCGGCCAAATGTCCTCGGCCAAATGTCCTCGCCCAAATGTCCGTCGGTCAAATGTCCGCCGGCCAAATGTCTCTCGGCTAAATGTCCTCGGCCAAATGTCCTCGGCCAAATGTCTTCGGCCAAATGTCCGTCGGTCAAATGTCACTCGGCCAAATGTCTTTGCGAAATGTCTCTCGGCCAAATGTCCGTCGGTCAAATGTCTCTCGGCCAAATGTATCTCGGCCAAATGTCCGCCGGCCAAATGTCTCTCGGCTAAATGTCCATCGGCCAAATTTCCCTCGGCCAAATGTCCCTCGGCCAAATGTCCGTCGCTCAAATGTCTCTCGGCTAAATGTCCGTCGGTCAAATGTCTCTCGGCCAAATGTCCGTCGGCCAAATGTCTCTCGGCCAAATGTCCGTCGGCCAAATGTCCGTCGGCCAAATGTCACTCGGTCAAATGTCCGTCGGCCAAATGTCTCTCGGCCAAATGTCCCTCGGCCAAATGTCCCTCGGCCAAATGTCTCTCGGCCAAATGTCCCTCGGCCAAATGCCCGAACATAAGGCGAAGATGCATTCGATCCGCCGAAAATATATAGTCCAGAGCTTTCGCCAACAAACTACACTGATATTTTGCTATCAGAGTCGTACTTTTTTGTTTAGCAAAAACCGGGATGAATCTCGCACAAAGCGATGGGTGGGCTCCTTCCTGACGGAGCATCTCAGTATACGCCTGTCACTAGCATCGGCTATTTCTAGGTCCAATTTTCCCCTATCCACCCAAAAAGCATCCTCCAAGTAATTTTTGGCCGCCCTGTTTTTAGGTTACCTTCAACGGTCATCTCATGGACCAGTTTGATAGGCCCCTCGTTGCGCTCAACCCAGTTTAGTCTACAGCTGTGCAGCAGTGACTCACGGTTGTCAAGGCTTAGCTTCTCGAGAAGAGAATACGACCTGATCCACAACCTCAGTGGACAAGCCACATATCGAGGGTATCATGTATGTAGAGCGACAAATTTAGCAAATTTGACTGGTTGTTGATTGATTTCTTTTTTACGGCTTATCAACCTTCTGCAGGTTATTTAACGCCAGAAAGTATTTTTAGATTGAAATAATGTTTGGTAGATAATAATGATTTACTGATGCAAATCGTATTAGTTAACCCATAGCTAGGGGAGTGGACTTGTACATTTCTAGAGTGTATTTGTAAGTGAATATAACGAATCCAGCTGGAATTGAAACTTTGCTCCGATCTCCAATTCTGAGCCGTTATCCATTACACCACCCGCACATCCAAGCTTACTGCATTTGGTATTCATTTACTCACTAGCAGTAGAGCCCGGCGTTGCCCGGGGATGTAACAGTAAGAGATAGATCAAGTATCGAACATCATAAAGACTGAAAAATCAGATTGACAAAGATTATTGTTTAAGGTTGACGGACACGCATGTCTTAATTAGTTTTTTTTTTTTTTTTTACGAATTGGTCAAACCCAAACTCAAACAAAAACATTGTTTTCAATCGTTATGAGTCTATCGATTGAATAGAATTTTATTATAAACAATTGTCTTGTAAATGGAATTTTTAAAGCATTCTGAATGGAAAAATAAAGAAAAAAGTGTGCAAAACAATAAGAAACACTACCTGTCAAAAAAAAGTGAAGTTTTGTTGAAATCGGTTGAAAAATGTAGGAAATCCGATCCCATATATAAACGAACACACACACACACACACACACACGCACACACACACACACACACAAACAACCTGGGTTTTATAATAAGTATAACTCGATATGAGTTGTCCCCCTTTCATTCTCGCGATGCCTCTTAATCGTGTTTTCAAATTGATTTCGTGCAAAAACAATTGTGTTTTTCCAATTTTTGGCGCTATCAGAACCACCGCAAGGTAATTTTACGTAGTCCTGTGAAGTTTTGTTGAAATCGGTTGAAAAATGTAGGAAATCCGATCCAATATATAAACGTACAGACACACACGTACACACACACAGCCTGGGTTTTATAATAAGTATGATTTAGGTACTGACCAGGCTCGATATTGCTTAACGTCGGTGATCGTACGAGAACGTGATATGGCCGTAAGCCGTCTAATGATCGGTGTTACTTTAGGAGTTTGTGACGAAGAGTGTCACAAACATTGGATGAGAGCATCGATTAAACATAGAAAAGGTCAGGGTGTCGAGATTTGCAGATTCTTTATATTGAATAGAATGAATTATGAATAAGCACTCTCTCGAAACATTGGATAAGGTTATATAACCATACGCTCCAAATGATATAGATTGTTTGTGAGTTTTTTTTATTTTTTATTTTTAAATTACAACAATCCCCCAAACAACCAACAGGCAAATCTGAATTTACATTCAAATCAAAACTATCGAGACGTAGTAGTAAGAAGCCGAATTGCCAAATCTCGACCCTATCGATAACTTATGGCAAAGGGTCAAAGGAATAAGTCCCCAAACGATAATTATCTCGCCAATAATATTGTAGAATTATGGAAAATTCAATTAGAAGTTGTAATGGTTTTAATTGCATCGATGGCGCTTAGATAAGATACTCTAATATGTCAGGACAATCGAATTATTAAAAATAATTCGATTGCCCTGACGTATTAGAATATTGGAGTGTTTTTTTTTTCATTTATTCTATTATTTGTTAGTCCGCTTTTGTTATTTAATAAAAACGGAAGATAAATCCGTCCAAACTATTTGAGCGAAGCATTTTTACCAAATTAGATTACTGCGCTAAAAAAAATCCACCTAAAATAGGAACGGTAATGGTGAAAATAACCGTTTCTATACAGCAAACATTCGACATTCATTTAGTGTTATTATCGGTTGAAATTTATAAAATCTTCATCAATTCAGGAAAATACGTTTCTCATGTCCGTTGATATCGCTCCTTTTTGTATTAATGGGAGTTTCCTTCCCAACCTTTTGTTTAAGGCAGTGTGGAAAGCTAGCATTTTCATTATTTTCCCTCCTATTTACATGTACCTCACATAATTTTGTAAATTTTTTTTTCCTTTTCCAATAATATATAGCTGGTAATTTTTTTTTAACATGAAAATATATTGTTGGTATTCTTACTACAAAAATGTATTTTCATTTTTTCATAATGTTTTGACCCCAGTTCATTATTTGCCCATAACTGGGACCCTAACAGGCGCTACCACTCCGGGTCAGAGTAGACCTGGGAACAACAGCAATTAAGAAGTGGTTCCACGATCCTCAAAACCTCCCAATCAGAGGCCTAGCTGCCGGACGTAGTTTATCGTCATACCCAGAACGAGGAAGTCTTTAAGCGATGCTGTCTTTGCTATTTGGTAAATTCTTTGTGATTTTGTAAAGCTAGTCTATAGGGTCTGATGAAGGATTTTCGTCCCTAAGACCTGAAGGCTTTATTCGCCTAAAGCTGTTTTTAGTCATTGATTTTAGAAAACGGTTACATAGAAATGATAGTCAAAACATTTCTGACGAAGTTGGACGCCATGTAGATGACATACTGTAAATATAAATTAAAAGCGAAAAAATGATTTAATCTATGTATGGTTTGGAGAAGTGATTCTCAAAGTTCCAGGTTAAATAACTCCCCTGTCGATTCCAGTTTTCCTCAGTCACTCCCCATATTCTGAATTGTCATCTAATACGTATTAACTGAAATCTCTCCCCATATCCTCTTGTGAAAACTTCCTCTCGTTAGATTACTTTTGTTTGAAAATCAGGTTTAGATCATATATAAAATAAAAATGCCCTTGCTCTCAGAGCTCAAACTGTGGGAGAGTGGTTTGTATTATTCAATGAGCAAAGAATAAAGCTAGTAATGTGTCATCACCACTGTGCAGACCCCGAATTTACTCCAGTTCTGGTGAACGGTTGTATTCTCAGTGAGGATCCTTGCCTCGAATGTCTTTTGGGACTGAAGCTCACTCCATACCTCAAGTGGAACTCGTATATACGATCCATCGCTAATGATTTTAGAAAATGGTCCGTTCCTGTTTAACGCCCCAGGATGTATCTTACTTCTCCTGTAATGCTTTCTGTATACAAGAATCAGACTAGGCCCAAAATAGAGTATTGTTTACACGTCAGGGTGGGACCTGACCAGTGTTTTTATTATAATCTTAATCGCTAATAATAATAATAATAATAATAATAATATATTGCTCTACTTTGTATTGAGCACTTTTTAAAAGAAATTGCTACAAACAGTTTCATTTTACTCTGTTATTACTCCCATTTGTATATATATATATATATATATATATTTATATATATAAATTCATGAATCATTCATACAAAAAAACAAAAACAAAACAAATATAGAAGTTAATGATTTAAATGGCGAGAATACATCTTCGCAAACAATATCTTTAAGATACACCAACCCCGAACCTGTACATGAATGATATGATCTATGTTTATAAATTCCAGTTGCATAAGGTCTTTTTAATTTTTTTACAAGCTTTCGTCTGTTCCTACAGACATCATCAGGTATGGAAATAGATTTGTTCTTGTTTTTACTTCTCAGTAATAAGAGGACAACGAAAATAGAGATGTAATCCGAAAAAATGCCATGAGAAATGTTTTATTATTTTGGAACGTGCGGTCGCAACGCTGAGTTTGAATTTGAAATTTTAAGGTTGTGCGTTTTTGTACAAATTTATAATTTATAAATTCATGAATCATTCATACAAAATTTAAAATTCAAACTTCATTCAAACTGGAATTTATAAACAGGGATCATATCATTCATATACAGGTTCGGGGTTGGTGTATCTTATTGATATTGTTTGCAAAGATGTATTCTCGCCATTTACATCATTAACTTCTATATTTGTTTTTTTTTTGTATGAATGATTCATGAATTTATAAATTATAATTGCACCTATAATTGAAATATATATATATATATATATATATATATATATATATATATATATATATAGCGTTACATTGTATTCAAAATGCAATTTTATTACAATTATCACCTCCTTAAATAAATTAGGCAAACATCAGGTTGTTGATAAATGTGTCAACACCTCATAAAAGCATTCACCACCCTATTAAAAATGGTTTTCTGTGATATTTTAACCTAAAAGTATTAAATTCAGATTAATTAAGTTTTAAATCAGTTAATTCTTCTCAAATAGCGTTTCAGAAAAGTATATTTTTTAAAGACTTTAATAAAGAGAATAATTTTGCGTTGAAAGTATTTTGATTATTGGAAATATAAAATTTAATCGATTAGCTTGGAATTAAACTAAAATAAAAGCTTCAAGAAAGATTTTTCATTTTTTTAAAATGAATTTAAAAAAACCCATGTAGTATTTCTTTTGGGGATATATAAGCCTATTATAGATCTTGACTAAGTCCTGAGTAGTTTGGTACATGTACATAGGAAATAGAGGTTAGGAGACTTTGTTGAGCCAATTTTCCAAGAGGAGAGGGTTATATTATATATTATACTGAATAATGAAGATACAAAATCTAGTATTTGACCTGGAATAGAATACTGACCGACTGGTGCTTTTGAACTCCGTGCGTGTGTGTGCGAATACGTATTTAAATAATCGATATTGGTGACAAGTTACACGGTTAAAAAAGTACTCGCTGACCCAAACCAAACCCAGAACAAAAGGTACCAAAAGTAATCAATTTCATCTGATACAAATATCCTGACACACACACACACACATTTTATTTTGTTCGTACATGCGTACCTGCTAGTGTATCACATTGTGTGCGTTTAATCTTTCCACTGTCAACAGTACTTTAAAAATTAAAATGTATGTAGCGTGGGTGGGGGTTCTCGTAAAAATTGATGAAAATTATAAGTGATCATTGCGTTTTTAAAACAGATTTACTTTTATACAATTGAACTGATGATTCCTGTCTGGATTTCTAGGCTGAGGAGTTATTATTATCTACATTATTATGATTATATTATCTACATTATTATTATCATCATCATCATTCGATTTCTGCTATGGACACACTACCTACCAAGTCTGCGGAAAGACCTAAGGCAGGTCGTGGTGTGTTGTTATGGCCACATTTCATGTTTTTTTTTTTTTTTTTTTTTTTATCTCCGATGAAGTTGCTAGCGTTACATAGACAAAGTTCTCCTTAGTGTGTGTGCTGTACTTAATAAGACAATTTTCTGTATGTCTCTTAAGCTGGGGTTTCCAGGGATTCTTTCAATGTGTTGTTTTGTTCCATTTTTTATAATTCCAAGTGCACCTATTACCACTGGTATTATTCTTGTTTTCAATTTCCACATTTTTTCTATTTCAATTTCCAGGTCTTTGTATTTTGATAGTTTTTCAAATTCCTTGGTTGCTATGTTACAATCCGCTGGACAAAGCCATATCAATTAGTAGGCAAGTTTTTTCTTTCTGGTTTTTGACAATAATGTCCGGCCTATTTGCTTCAATTTTTCTGTCTGTGTGGATGGTATAATCCCATAGAATGGTGACATCTTCTATTTCTGTAACCGGCGCTGGCCGATTATCATTATTATTATTATTATTATTATTATCTACATTATTATTATTATTATTATTATTATCATTATTATTATTATTATTTATTTTATTATTATTATTATCTACATTATTATTATCTATGTTATTATTATCTACATTATTATTATTATCTATATTATTATTAATAATATTATTATTATTTACATTATTATTATTATTATTATTATTATTATCTATATTATTATTAATAATAATAATAATATTATTATTATCTACATTATTATTATTATTATCTACATTATTATTATTATCTATATTATTATTAATAATATTATTATCTACATTATTATTATCTACATTATTATTATCTACATTATTATTATTATCAACATTATTATTATTATCTATATTATTATTACTAATATTATTATTATCTACATTATTATTATTATCTACATTATTACAATTATTATCTATATTATTATTAATAATAATATTATTATTTTCATTATTATTATTATTATTATCTACATTATTATCATTATCTACATTATTATTATTATTATCATTATTATTATTATTATTATTATTATTATTATCTACATTATTATTATTATTATCTACATTATTTACATGCAAACTCTTTGTTGCTTTTCTCACAATGTTTCGGCCTTTGTACCCACCGGCCTTCATCAGGTGCTTGTTGATTCGTGTAACCTTCAGTGAATTTCGAACTGAACCCATTAATCAATCTACGGTGGGTAGATTATTATCTCTACGTTGCTCATGTCCAGGTATATCTCGACTAGTTTTTTTTTATTTAGTACTTCCCAGTCAGTCAGAAACAGGGAAAGCAATATTTGAGCAGTATTAAACAAGAACTAGATGAGTTATTTCCTTAGACAGGGTCAGCGAAACGAGAACAATCTATCTGCGTAGATTAATTAAAGTGTCCAGTTCGAAATCGCCTGATGAAGGCCAAGGAGCAGAACGACATTCTGACTTCTTACAATTGATGCTTAGGCTTTTCTGCCCGTTCTAGACTTGTTGACACAGTAGAGAAACTTTTGAAAATAAACATTGATCCACACGTTTTGAGCTCCGGACTGGAGGCTTCGATCCCAGTATTCGGAACCTTTGAAAGTGCCTGAAAAACCATATCGCAGGTTAACCCAAACTTTGAAATTGGGTAGACGAAACCCCTGGGACCCGTCGATAGCTGAGCTGAGCTAGCACGAAGTTAAAAGTCATCGTGGCCGAGGGCTTGAGCGTCCTGACCTTGTTCAAATTATTGATCACACTAGATAACACGCCCTTTCCAAGAAACTGCAACTATGGTCTGCTCAGCATTGTTGCAGTATAAACCACATAATATAATTTGAATAAACACGAATGCGCCTAAGCAAGCGTCTGCGATAGGGATTGGGTATCCTCGAATATGAATGGCCAGTTATACATAGTATGATCCCCAAACAATCTTAGATGATTATGAAGTTGTGAAAATTACGTGTTGTGCGCTAAATAATGGTAAAAGTCTGAACCGTTGGAACTAAAAAACTGGAACTCTTCTGGACATTTGGTATGGAAATAAGGATAGAACAGGAATTGGTCTGAAGCATTGCTTCTTTTGGAAAGAGGCTTCAAAGTGGAGATTGAGTAAACGATTTTGAATTCTATCAAGGCTGGAAATTGAAGATTGTGCTGCTCCAGCCTAGATATGACAGCAATACTCTTGATCTGACGTTTGTCAAGATAGAACATGACAGAAGGCATCAGATACTTCCTGCACCGCTTTAGTGAACTCACCTTTACCCCAGCTTCTTTAGCAATGAATTTTGTATATGATTTCGACTAGAGGTCTGCAAGTAAATCCTCTTTGAATTAAACATTATTTCGTATAAATAGTAGTTACGACTGAAAAATAATATTCCCCCTTGTGGAACTCTCGTTAAATGCAATGTCAATCGTTATCTTCTGTCTCCTTAATTCTTATTCTTTCATTGTTCTCTCTCCTTAATAGTATTTTTTTCTCATATTCTCTAACCTCTTGCGTCTGAATCGCTTTATTGCCTATCTTGGGGTGAAATGATTAAAAAAAATTTAACACTTTCACTGATGCATTGTTATATGCTGGCCCGTTGCGAGGAAAATACCAAATTGCCATTTATTGCTGTAAATAAATGACTATAAAGACGCTGAAGGCGGTTTCTCATGGACACCGCCATTTTGGACTCGACCGGATATTCTGCAGTAAAGATTAAACTACATGACACTATCAACACTCGATATAATACAAAACAGGAACTATATTGTAATCTACTACATGTTCCCGCTGGTTTGTAAGTAGTAACAAGCGATAGGGACTGACATTTCACGTTTATCTTGAAAATGTATATATACATCAACAAAAGGTAATATTGGTTGAGTTTGTTTAACGGAATATAAACCTCTATTGTTATACATAATTCTAAATATTTTGGACGCAATTGCATGCCTTCAACTATAGATAAAATGTGTTGTTGGTCATTTTGTTGGTAATGTATTTTTATATTTTCATAGTGCTTTGTTTTTATTTGGGGGTGCGCTGTTCTCCCATAGCTGGAACCCTAACAGGTGCTACCACCTCGGGTCAGACTGAACCTGGAAATTAAGAGGTGGTTCCACGATCCTCAAAACCTTCAATCACTCGATCGGAGGCCTTGCTGCCGGGTGTAGTTTATCGTCATACCCAGGACTAAGCAGCAGGCAATGTAAGTTTCATAAATACGTATAAGTAAATTACATTTAATATATAAATATTTATATATGTCGATAACCGACAATGTGAGTTTCTTAAAAACGAATATATACGTCTTCTAAACGCATATATACCTTGGCAGTAGGTAAAAACGAATAAGTACTTCTTGTAAGCGTATATATCAGTTGGCAGCATGTAAGTTTCGAGTAGACGTAAGCGAAGGCAGTCGTAAAAAAAAAGCAAGTTAACTCTTCCATCCCCATCATCGTGTTATATGTGAATTTAACGTGTGGTGCAAAATCAGGTATTTATTGTACTTAATTCAGACCTGTATTTCAATAAATGATTATTATCCACCATGACAATGTCGGTATTATCTGCCCTTTCTTTTTATTTATTTGACTATTCAGACGTGTTTGTTTCCCACTCATATATTGAACGGCGTTAAACTATTTTAGAAATCGGAAATCTAATCCTCTTTTAGGAAAACATATCGCTGATAAAGTGCCAAATGAGTTTGCAAATAAAATTAAACTAATTTAAAATTAATTAAATTCTATTAATTAAATTCTTTAATTACATTAAAATTAGTTAAATGTTTAATTATATTTGCAAACTCATTTAGTCCATTATCAGCGAAATGCTTTCCTGAAGGAGAATTACATTTCCGATTTCTAAAATAGCTACACATCGTTCAATGTAATATCAGTCCTCCTAAATGGCAGTGAATATTGAACAATCTCATCACAGATGAAAAAGGGACTTGAGGCGACACAAATGTGGTTCAAGAGAATTATGTTGAGAATACCATGGACTGAAGATGTGAGTGAATAATTTTTATTTTTTACGGTTTATCAACCCTTTGCAGCCAGAAATTTTTTTAGGTTGTAAGAATTTATTGGAAATAATAATAATGATCTATTGATACTGTTATACTGGAACACACCTATTCTATTGTTAATAGACTCTCCCACCTATAATAAGTTAGAGTAGTAGCAGTCGCTAAGTGGGCTCAGTGGTCGGTCTGAGTTCAGTCTGAAGTTGGACTCTCTCTGCCTTCGGGCGGGGAGGAACCCAAACGAGGCTACGCCGAAGGGCGGAGTCTCTTTCGGGGAGGTAAACCGACCCTGAACCCATTTAAACGTGTTAAAAGGGCATATTTTTGGCCGAGCCCACGGGCTCGGAGATCCCACGTTAAACCGGCCTTGTGCCACATGATGCCCTCGTGGGGGTGTGACTGTATACCGCTCAGTGAGTTAGTGAGTCAGTCGATGCCGGACGACCGTTAGTCGGATATTAAAGTATCAGCCACCACAACTAGATTGCTGCGTCATTAACTGTTATATCAAGTTCCTAACGTTTTGTACGTCGAACCTATTTTAGGACCGACTTAGTGAAATACAAGCCTCCACTGTGAAACTACTCTACAACACTTGGCGACGACGATTCGAAACTCATACGGAGGAAAAAAATCGTTAGCCATATACAACAGACACAAATCCTACTAATTAACCCATAGCTGTGGAAAAAAGATGGATTAATATCTTTCCCAAGAGGATTTATATCTTTGCGCCCGTCTCTGAATATCTGTCTCTTTGCGCCCGTCTCTCAATGTCTACCTTGTTGCGTCCATCTCTCCGTGTCTATCTCTTTGCGCTCTTTTCTTCGTGTCTGTCTCTTTGCGCCCGTCTCTCCCTGCCTAGCTTGTTGCACCCGTCTTTCTGTGTCTTTTTCGTTGCGTTCGTCTTTCCGTGTCTGTTTCTTTGCGCCCATCTCTTCGTGTCTGTCTCTTTGCGCCAGTCTCTCCGGGTCGGTTTCTTTACGCCCGTCTCTACGAGTCTATCACTTTGCGTCTGTCTCTCCATGTCTTTTTTTTTTGCGTCCGTTGTTCCGTGCCAATCTCTTTGCGCCCAGCTCTTGGTTTCTGTCTCATTGCGCCAATCTCTCCGTGTCTGTCCATTTGCACCCGACTCTCCGTGCCTATATCGTTGCGCCCGTCTCTCCGTGTTGGTTTCTTTACGCCCGTCTCTCCGTTTCTGTCTCTCTGCGCCCGTCTTTCCGTGTCTGTCTCTTTACGCCCGTCTCTTCGTATCTGTCCCTTTACATCCGTCTCTCCATGTCTTTTTCTTTGCGCTCATCTCTCCATGTCTATCTCTTTATTCCCGTCTCTCCTTTTCTGTCTCTCTGTGTCCGTCTTTCCGTGTCTGTCTCTTTGCGTCCGTCTCTCCATATCTTTTTCTTTACGCCCGTCTCTCCGTGTTTGTCTCTTTGTGTCCGTCTCTCTATATCTATTTCTTTACGCCCGTCTCTCCGTGTCTGTCTCTCTGCGACCGTCTTTCCGTGTCTGTCTCTTTGTGCCTGTCTCTTCGTGTCTGTCTCTTTGCACCCGTCTGTCTCTTTGCACCCGTCTGTCTCCTTAATCCAGTTTCTTCGCGCCTGTCTCCCTACATAGTCTCTTCGTGTCTCTTTATATAGCAGTCTTTTTGTGCCTGTCTCTTTGTACCAATCTACGCCTCTTCCTCTAAGTCATTATGATATCATATATTTAAGTATTAAATCAATTTAAAATTTCTATTTTGAAAATTCTTCATACAATTTTATTTTAATACAAGTCGTAAAAATTAACCCATAGCTAGGGGAGAAGAATTGGATTCATGCCTTTCTTAATTTGTGTTAGTGAATGTACCGAGCTCGACTGGAATTCGAAATCGGCTCTTTGGTTCCGGGCCGTTATCCATTACACCACTCGCACATCCAAGTTCACAGCAGCTGGTATTTCCAAGCGGTCACCCATGAAGGGACGACGAAGTTTGCAGGGAAATTTCTCAGGCACATAATGATGAAAAGAGGGCTTAGAAAATTTGACACTCACAGGGCATTTTGAAGGTAAAAGGGCCAGAGGAAAGCAGCATATAACCCCTGCTTAACGGGCTTGTGCAAACGGTTGGCCAAACATGGATAAGGAGAGATAGCAAACAAACTTTACTAAGAGCTACATAGGAGAGGAAATTGTGGAGGGCCATGATCGCACACATCCTGAAGGTACAAGGCGCATAAAATAAGAAGAAAAATTAAATTGTAATAATTCTAGCAAATAATTATGAACACACCAAAGGGAATAATAAGATTGATGTTTAATACGATTGATGATTTAGGGAAGTGAATTATTTCAAAGGTATGGAGGCAAATAAAGATATATCATCAGACCGCTATTGCGTCCATGTAATTCCAAGACTATATTCTCCATATGGATGATTATGACTCTCCATAACTTCCTATCATTTGCATCTCTGAGCAATGTTTGTCTTTTTACTCTCTCTCCCGGTTCCTGTTTTACGATCCATTTCCGGAAGCCGTTATGCTGTTTATTCAATGTTACCCACTGTCAATCTTGCTTTCAATATGTCTTGTGAGTGTCAAATTTTCCAGGCTTTCTTTCTTTATTATGCTTTCTAGAAATTTCAGTTGTCTCTTTCTGATTCTAAATGACCTTTTTCTTTCTATTTTCCTTAAAGAAGATTACATATTTCATCCATGGTATTCTCCGTCTTCTTTTATAGAATCAGATCTCTGTTGCTTCACGTTTCCTCTTCATCTTTGAAGAAATTGTCAAGCATTCACTGTAATATCAGAAGATTGATATTATATATTAGTTTGGTACTGTTCTTCTTTGTTTCGAACAATGTTCCTGTTTCTTAATACTTTGCGTTTTGGAAGTTGTCATTTGCTATTTTAACGCGCCTTCGAATTTCGGCGTCCTGTTCATGACATCCATATGAAAGCCTTGATCTGACGAGGTTATTGAAGAACATAGCTCAAGTCTTCAGGTTGATGTTTTGGTTTTATAGAAATTCGCAGTGTTGGCAAAACTACCACTGTGTTCAATTTCCTTTACTTCTGTAGTTAATTTCTGAAATCTAATTCATACGCCCAGATATTAAACGTGTTTAGTATTTACCGATTCCATATACTGGATTTTTATGATGGATTCAAAATAGGTTCCATGATTGCTTTCATTCCAATTCCAGATCAGAATTTCTGTTTCGGAAAGGTTTATTTTGAGTCCTATTTATTTGAACTACATCTGGCAGCAAGGCCTTTGATCCGAAGATTTTAAAGAGCGTGGAATCACCTCTTAAATGCTCTGTTAGGCCTCCAGCTATGGGCAAATAGATAACTTCACCAAACTGGGGTCAACACTACGTAAGTATAAAAATATTTTTATAGTAAAAATACCACTTTTTGATATGTCCCGGAAAGGGGTATATTTAATCGAAGTAGTTAAGTGGTTTTGGCTACTATAACCAAGTAGAATACGGTAGCAGTAATCAACTGGTACGCGTCGTAGTCGCAGGTAAGAAGTGTAGATCAATGGCGTAGTCCAATGGGCGTCGTTATAGACTTAACTCTCAGACTAAGGCTCTTTACTATGTCGTGCCTACACGTCCGTCGGTATTTATGACGAACACCAGCCAATCATATTCCAGTGAGTGGGAACACAGGTGTATGCATATTCCATTATATCACTTTTGAAGAAAAACCTAACAAGCAATACTCTTGACAAAAAACATCTTTACAAAAAAAAAAAAAAAAGTTAATAAAACCTGATCTACAAACTGGTTTCTTACAAATATATATTCATACGAAACTATCCTAAAATCTTGTCGACATTAAATAACTCATTGGGGTTGATATGCCGTAAAACGAAATAAAGCAAACCAAACCAAACCTATTTCTTGGAACACATTTTTTAAAAGTCAGTTCACCCCAAGAAAGGCGGGAGTGCCACTAGCAATCAAGGGGGTTACAGAGGATTGAGAACAAGAGTAAAGCGGCGTGTTTGAGGAAAGGATTACGAAGAAGGCCTGCATGCCAAACCCTATCAAACGCTTTAGAGATGTCTAGAGCCACAGCTCGAGCTTCTCCATTACTTGGTAGAGGATATTGATTTTCTGCTCCACGTTATTCTTATCTCAACTATGAATACCTATGTCATCAGTATAGCCTCCTTCAACATTGGCCTCGGGAGGGAGAGTAGAATCGTCGTATTCTATTGCTGGATTCGTTTGTGATGTGGCATAGAGTTACTTAAATAGTCAGGCCCCATCTCATCACATTGGGTTTGTAAATGTGTAGGGCGTAGTCTAGGAAATGATTAGATAGACTGGGGTTCTTATTTCTCTCCTTGACGTACTCTTGATGAGGTTTGAAATGTTTCCGTATTGGGGTCCTCGCCAGACATATCAGATTCTGTAGATCCATACAGTTCCTGGACGCATTCAGTGGAGCTTGGATGGCAGTTTTTAATGGATGAGAAGATGAAGTCTCTATTGATGTGATCATATGCTGCTATGAGGTCGACTAGGCAGGTATACAGTTTCCTATTAGAGAAGTAAGCAATTTTTGGGAGTGGATTGACAACATATAAAGTGGTGGAATTAAGTATAAGACATCCCGTGACATTGTTAATAATTTTCTTATTACAGCACAAATTCCTCTGAAAATTTGTGTGTGGTACCTAGATCTGATGGGTATTTGTATACATATCAAGGTACCACACACAAATTTTCAGAGGAATTTGTGCAGTAATAAGAAAATTATTAACAATTTCATGGGGTGTCTTTTACTTATATACACCACTGTATGCTATCATTGCATCCATTACCAGAACAAAAACCAGACTGCAAAATAGACCCCATTTTTGGGGATGCTTTATGATTCTAAATTTCTTTCATAAAGTAGAGAAACGTATTATTGAATGATGGTGTTAATGACAATGTAGACGGATTTTTGCATAAAAGAATCAATTGTATTGACTGCATGATAATATTGATACAAGACGACGTTGATTTTATCGAGCCTTTCTCTCTTATCGTTTGAGTTTTTGCTTTTCTCTTCTAGTGGCTTCGAAACTTTTGATTCCGAGCGTGATGTGATGGAAAACCGTTAGTTGATGTGGTCTCAGGCTTCTGTTTCAAATGATTTAGGCTTAAGTCCAGTAGCTTTCATTGTTGTTTTGAGTTGATCCTTGTATTTTCGAAAAGGGCAACCCTTTGATCTTTATCCAGAAGTGAACTCACTAAATGATGTAGAAACCTTGAATCTTCAATTCTTGTTACATGTCCAAACAATCGAAGACGCTGTTTCATAATCAGGTAATCGATGTTTTGACTGTGGGCCCTTTTATACACTGGGCCATCGGTCCTTGAGGACATGGCTCATAAAAATATTGGTTGGAGTAATCCAGTGACTTGACCCAAATAGTTGTGAGTTCAATACATGCCGAAATAGGCATGGCGCGTGGAACTAGAACAATCTACCCCGGTGGACGAAATAACGGTTTCAGTTCGAAATTCAAATCACCTGAAGAAGGTCGGAGTATACAACGGCCGAAACGTCGTGAATATAATAATAAATATGAGGACAACAGACCAAACAATGTAAATAATGTAAATAAATACAATACCTCATCTCAGAAATATAGACAAAAACAAATTTATCTTACAATCTTACAATAAAAAGGTACACATAAAGAGGTTGCGCCAAAATTTCCTCTTGTGTGCCAGGATAACACTTTTCTGAGGTTACAAAAGGTGGATTACGATCAGATATAAGGAAAACGTGTTACGATTTTTTGAAAAAAGACACGGATTCAATGACAAAAAAATCCAGGCTTTAAAAATGGACAAAAGGGAAAAACTTAGAGGAAGCAAAAAATTGAACAAGGCAGAAAATACAAAACGCATCCACTTCTGTTTTAAACTTAACACTCAATAACATGACGTCTCAGCACGAAGGGGTTTTCGTGTTTTCACAAGTTGTTATCGCGAGGGACTTTTTGAAGTATTTGAAAGTTCTTTCAACTTAACTTCTTCTCAGGAAGTCGCAGAAAGGAATGTTCTGTCCTGGGTTTGAATCTGCCTGGAATCTGTCGGCTTTTTTCTTTCCCAATGTTGAATTATGACTCCCTCTATCTTGAAGCGTGAGCGTTAATACCTTTTTCATTTGCAGTTAACGGCTTTCTCATCGCTTCCTTCTTTCCACACTACTTATCCGCTCATAGCAGTCCTTCATATTGAAAAAAAAGTACCCTCATATAGGCTCACTTCAAGTTTTCACAAGGGCTTCAAGAGATCGTCTCTCATTGGCCAACATATACGAAACCTTTTTCTAAGAAAAACGAATCCAAAACAATTCAGCAAATAATTTTGGCGATCAACCGCTTGAGCCAAAAGGGCCATAAAAATGTTACAATTTTACACAAATCGTCTGGCCTTGAGAAAAATACACTTCTCTCAAAAACGCATATGAAAAAAAAAAATAACCCAGACGGTCAAAGATTTACAATTTTAGCAATTTTAATATAATTATATCAACAAAATATTGGTTTAGTCGCATGAAGTCATTCTAGAGGAGAAAACGCGTTACCCAGAATTTTTTTTCCACATATCTATCTATCTATCTATCTATCTATCTATCTATCTATCTATCTATCTATCTCTGTTCATATCTATCTTTCATATGTCAATATCTATGTTAATCTGTGCATATCAATGTATCTATATCGGTCTGTTCATTATCTATCTATCTATCTATCTATCTATCTATCTATCATGTGTCAATATCTATGTTAATCTGTGCATATCAATCTATCTCGGTCTGTTCATTATGTATCTAGTCTCAATATCTATATCAATCTGTTCATATCTATCTATCTATCTATCTATCTATCTATTCTCAGTTTCTATCTATTTAAGTCTCTTCATATCTATCTATCTATCTATATATCTATCTATCTATCTATCTATCTATCTATCTATCTATCTATCTAAATCCGCAGAATAGAAATAGAGCCAATACAATGCTTGTATTGTATATATTTTAACTATCTACGTTATCGTTTTCCCACAATTACATGTTACTTCCGAGTGTCATCTATTGATGGTATTTTATGATCAACCCCGTCTTTTTTATTCTGAAAACAACTCAGCGTTTTTCCCTTCACTCATGACGCGGGAAATCGGGCGCAACGTCAAAGAATGAGTGAAATCAATGAAACAGGCGCGAGTGATTGAACAATGGGCAATTGATAAAATTGCCGGGTGCATCAGCGGAAACAGGGGAAGGATACTGAAAGGAAAAAGGATAAAGAAATAGAGGAAAGACAAAAAGGGAGTGTTTGTTAGAAGGAAAGAAATCGTGCAAATATGAATGACAATAATGTAAAATAAAGAAAAAAAACAAGAGGAGAACGAAGGAAAAGAGAAGAGGGGGAAGAGAAGAGGTAGAGACGTTAAAGAGGAGGAGGAAAAAGGAAAAGTGAAGAGGGAAGGAATAGAAAAATAGAGACGTAAAAGAAGAGGAGGAAGAAAGAAAAGAGAAATAACAGAGCAGATAGAGACGTAAAATGAGAGGAGGAGGAGGAAGAAGAAGAAGAAGAAGAAGAAGAAGAAGAAGAAGAAGAAGAAGAAAGAATGAACATAAAAAGAAACGTAAAAGAAGAGGGGGAAGAAGGCAAAAAAAAAACAACAAAAGAAAATGAGAGAAGAAAACAATTAGGAAAAAAAAACAAGCATAAAAGAAGAGAAGGAAGAAAAAGAGAAAAATAGTAAAAAAAAAAAAAAAGAGAGAAACATGAAAAGCGGGGAAGGAAAAGAGAAGAGAAAGAAAATGAAGGAATAAAAGAGAGACTTCAAAGAAGTGGAGGTGGAAGGAAAAAAAAGAGGAAATGGAATAGAAAAAAAAGAGAAAGAAATAAGATGAAACGAGGAAAACGTGAAAGACGAGGAAAAGCAAGTCTTAGATAGAGAGAACGTGGAAAGAGGACCAAGAGAGAGAGAGAGAAAGAGAGAGAGAGAGAGAGAGAGAGAGAGAAAAGCGTGGGTGGAGACACGAGAGAGAAAGATTGAGAGAGTGAGAAGGGAGAGGGGGGGTGAAATCGCAAATAAAGGCCGTCGAGAAAAAGTGTGCGGAAAATGAGAATCACAGAGAGTGGTGAAAGCGAGAGGAAAATCGACCAAGAGTAGAGGGGCGGGGAGAGAAAAAAAGCTTAAAATAAAAAGAGAAAAGAGACAGAAAAAAAAAGAAAAAGAAGGAAAATAATTAACAAAGAAAGTGCAGAAAGAGTGGGCGAAAGAAAAGAGAAAGATGGACAAAAAAAGGGAAGACAGAAAGAGAGAAGAAACGGCAGCAAGACAAAGAGAGATGGAAAGAGAGGGAGAATAATGAGAGTCAAGAAAACAGAATGTGAGAGTGAGACGAAAAGACAGAAATGAAAAACAGAAAGAAAAAGAGACAAAAAGACAGAAAGAGAAAAGGTTGATGAAAAGACAGGAAGGAAAAAGACGAAAGCATGGACAGAGAAATAGAAACAAAACGAGAGAAAGGAAAAAAAAAGTGACGTGAAAAGACAGAAAGAAAAAGAGAGGCAAAGAAAAACAGAAAGAAAAAGAGACAAAAAGACAGAAAGAGAAAAGGTTGATGAAAAGACAGGAAGGAAAAAGACGAAAGCATGGACAGAGAAATAGAAACAAAACGAGAGAAAGGAAAAAAAAAGTGACGTGAAAAGACAGAAAGAAAAAAGAGAGGCAAAGAAAACAGAAAGAAAAAAAGAGACAAAAAGACAGAAAGAGAAAAGGTTGATGAAAAGACAGGAAGGAAAAAGACGAAAGCATGGACAGAGAAATAGAAACAAAACGAGAGAAAGGAAAAAAAAAGTGACGTGAAAAGACAGAAAGAAAAAGAGAGGCAAAGAAAAACAGAAAGAAAAAGAGACAAAAAGACAGAAAGAGAAAAGGTTGATGAAAAGACAGGAAGGAAAAAAGACGAAAGCATGGACAGAGAAATAGAAACAAAACGAGAGAAAGAAAAAAAAAAAAAGTGACGTGAAAAGACTGAAAAAAAAGAGAGGCAAAGAAAAACAGAAAGAAAAAGAGACAAAAAGACAGAAAGAGAAAAGGTTGATGAAAAGACAGGAAGGAAAAAAAAAGAAAGCATGGACAGAGAAATAGAAACAAAACGACAGAAAAAAAAAAAAAAAAGGTGATGTGAAAAGACAGAAAGAAAAAGAGAGGCAAAGAAAAAACAGAAAAAAAAAAGAGACAAAAAGACAGAAAGAGAAAAGGTTGATGAAAAGACAGGAAGGAAAAAGACGAAAGCATGGACAGAGAAATAGAAACAAAACGAGAGAAAGGAAAAAAAAAGTGACGTGAAAAGACAGAAAGAAAAAAGAGAGGCAAAAGAAAAACAGAAAGAAAAGAGACAAAAAAGACAGAAAGAGAAAAGGTTGATGAAAAGACAGGAAGGAAAAAAAAAGACGAAAGCATGGACAGAGAAATAGAAACAAAACGACAGAAAGGAAAAAAAAAAGTGACGTGAAAAGACAGAAAGAAAAAGAGAGGCAAAGAAAAAGAAGAAAAAAAGAGACAAAAAAGACAGAAAGAGAAAAGGTTGATGAAAAGACAGGAAGGAAAAAGACGAAAGCATGGACAGAGAAATAGAAACAAAACGAGAGAAAGGAAAAAAAAAGTGACGTGAAAAGACAGAAAGAAAAAGAGAGGCAAAGAAAAACAGAAAGAAAAAGAGACAAAAGACAGAAAGAGAAAAGGTTGATGAAAAGACAGGAAGGAAAAAAGACGAAAGCATGGACAGAGAAATAGAAACAAAACGAGAGAAAGGAAAAAAAAAAGTGACGTGAAAAGACAGAAAGAAAAAGAGAGGCAAAGAAAAACAGAAAGAAAAAAAGAGAAAAAAGACAGAAAGAGAAAAGGTTGATGAAAAGACAGGAAGGAAAAAAAAGACGAAAGCATGGACAGAGAAATAGAAACAAAACGACAGAAAGGAAAAAGGTGATGTGAAAAGACAGAAAGAAAAGAGAGGCAAAGAAAAACAGAAAGAAAAAGAGACAAAAAGACAGAAAGAGAAAAGGTTGATGAAAAGACAGGAAGGAAAAAGACGAATGCATGGACAGAGAAATAGAAACAAAACGACAGAAAGGAAAAAAAAAGTGACGTGAAAAGACAGAAAGAAAAACAGAAAGAAAAAGAGACAAAAAGACAGAAAGAGAAAAGGTTGATGAAATGACAGGAAGGAAAAAGTCGAAAGCATGGACAGTGAAATAGAAACAAAACGACAGAAAGGAAAAAAAGGTGATGTGAAAAGACAGAAAGAAAAAGAGAGGCAAAGAAAAACAGAAAGAAAAAGAGACAAAAAGACAGAAAGAGAAAAGGTTGATGAAAAGACAGGAAGGAAAAAGACGAAAGCATGGACAGAGAAATAGAAACAAAACGAGAGAAAGGAAAAAAAAAGTGACGTGAAAAGACAGAAAGAAAAAGAGAGGCAAAGAAAAACAGAAAGAAAAAGAGACAAAAAGACAGAAAGAGAAAAGGTTGATGAAAAGACAGGAAGGAAAAAGACGAAAGCATGGACAGAGAAATAGAAACAAAACGACAGAAAGGAAAAAAGGTGATGTGAAAAGACAGAAAGAAAAAGAGAGGCAAAAAAAAAACAGAAAGAAAAAAGAGACAAAAGACAGAAAAGAAAAGGTTGATGAAAAGACAGGAAGGAAAAAGACGAAAGCATGGACAGAGAAATAGAAACAAAACGACAGAAAGGAAAAAAAGTGATGTGAAAAGACAGAAAGAAAAAGAGAGGCAAAGAAAAACAGAAAGAAAAAGAGACAAAAAGAAAAAATGGAAAAAGTTTGATGAAAAAACAGGAAAGAAAAGAGACGAAACGAATAAAAGAGAAAAAGAGATAAAAGATAGAAAACAAAACAAAACACAAAGCAACAAAAAAAATACAAAAAAAACAGACAAATGGATAGAAAGAAAAAGAGAGACCAAAAGAAAAAAAAAAAAACAGAAAGAGAAAGACTAAGAAAGAAGTATAAAAAAAGATAGAGAAAAACTAATTTCTTCCATCGACGTAATCGTCTAACCCTCATGATTTATTTATATCTCTGGAAAAGGACTTTGCCGCTAGGAAACATTTTGACCCCAGATAAATTATCAATGGAGAGGACAAAATAATACTGGACAATTGTCTCTTTGGGGTTGTATAAAGATTCGAGGTGAAAGGCTACATGCTTTATATTTATCGGAATCTTCGGTCATTTCTTAAGTTCCTCTTATTTGAAATTCATATCACGGGATTTATAAAGAATCTAAAAGCAGAACCCAAATCAAACACACAAATCAAAGAAATAATTAAAAACACTACAAAATACGAATAACAAATAAACAAAAGAGCAAGTCGCCGTGATTACAGTGAGTGTGATCCTCACCGAGTTACCCATGAGTGTTAGACTTAAACTAAATAAAAATACCAAACAGGTCCATCCATCATGGCACTTCAATGTGGTGTAATGGCTAACATGCCTGTCTCGCTCATTCAATTACGACTGAATAGGGAGTTCGATCCTTACTGAGCGCCCTACACTTTCGGCCTTACGCACGTCAAAGCTACGCTTAGAAAATTATTTTTGGGTACCTCGAACGCTAGAACAATTACGATTCAGTAGTTCGATCCTCACTTGGTACCCCACACTTTCGGCCTTCTGCCACATCTAAGCTACGCTTAGAAGATCACCATGGCTTCGGTGATTAGAATGTCAGTCAAGTAAACTGACGTTTGTGGTTCGAATCCCTCTAAAGCTAAGTAGAGCTCAACTTTCCCGGCTTGCAGAAGATTACTTCTTTAATGAGTTCTGCTCTCGTCAGTTGCTCAGTTCTTGTGGTACTGTGCCAGACTTAGCTCATCCTCAGCAAACACCAATAGTTTGCACCTTGCCGTTGAGTAATACTGAAAGAACTACGTCTGCAGTTACCGTAATTCCCCATGTATAA